GAGCCATAGCGGATGGTCCCTAATCACTTTTCCACAGGTGGATGACTCTAACTGCAGTTAGCTTCATTCAAGATGGATGCCGAAATCCTTTCGTTTTCGATAAACCTCCAGTTTCAGCTAAACTAAGTAGAATCTGGATTCCAAATGTTTCGCCATGCAAAATAAACCTGCCGCCTGGAAGCTACCGAACTGAATGACATCATTGATGAAAGAGTAAAGAGATTAATAAATCAAAATAATTCAAGGACCCACTCAGGTTGACCCTTTTGTATATATTATCAGTTAAAACATAGTCCAAGACCACCGGAGTCTCCGGCGGTAAATTTCTTCGCATGCATCTAATGTGATTTCGTTCTAATTTGAACGTATCAGTTTTCTTTCCCATTAAAGTAATACTCTGGATAACTTAACTTGAAAGCTCGATAGATTACGTTACCGATCACGTACATCTTGTGATTGTCTCATTTATTAGTTCGTTGATGCCGCTACGAGCGACAAGTTTAGGGTAAATGCAAAACTGAGAATGAAGTAGAATCAAAATATCAAGACAAGTCAAGGTGACTATTCCTACAAAATCACATCGTGCCATGGCCCTATCTTCATGTAAGGGTGAACTCCTATTTTATATGTCTATAAATGACATCAAAGCACATCATATCTTTGTTGATTAGTCCAAAAATCAGTATTGATCAGTCGCTAATAAACAAAATGGATGATTCAAAAGTTAGTAAAATGAACAATAAAATATTAAATGTTCTGCCGATTTTTTTTATGGATATAGTGATGATTTGAAAGGACAAGGTGCAATTATTGGCAAATATCCCTATGGTCAAAATGAATCATTCGTAGGTGTAACATGAAGAATAAAATGTCATATAATACTTTGGAAAATATGAAAGTGCTCGGACACACATAAGCTGAGATAGGGATCATTTCGTTCAGTAAGGTTGTATTGACTTACATGGGGCTGTGCACCATTGACTTAACATGAGGGTATCAGCAGATCCCAATAGAGGCCATTGGTTTCCATTGATTATCACAGAAATACCAAAAATACACTATGACCTGAATCGATTGCAAACTTAATAATTTCACAATACGACACAAATGGTTTATCTCTTCAAATGTGCAAATATGAAGTTGGCAATCGATTCAGGTCATACTTAAAATTAAAAGATTGTACATTTTTTCATCATTTTTTTCCCCTACAAAATGGCTATAGAAAAATGCTCCAAAAACAACTTTTACACTTATCAAATATCATACAAGTTTGTAAAACCAAAGATTATACCATTATATTTCATTATGTAGTAACATATTTGGATAAGATGCAAATATGCGTAGGATGTAAATGGATTTTGACAGACACAAAAATACTTCCTGGTTTGGAATCTATGCCTTTACACTTCATGATTGAATTATGACCCTAATAAGTGGCCTATACATCAATACAGTGCTGAATATAGGTCAACAAGATACTAGTGTGCATATAAATGTAATAATTGAAGCAGAATACTCATTTTGAAAAATCAGATGAATTATTTTTTTCCCATGGGGAGATCCCAATGGAGGGTGTATAAGGTCCTTTAAATCAAGAGAATACAAATCATTCATGACATTCGTACATACAGGATGAGGGATATTCCATTATTTTAAAATTAATTAAGTACCAAAATACGGCTAAAATGAGACCACTCGAAACTCAAAACGACACCTCTTTTGTATAACTTCATATTTATCTATCTTAATCAAAATGTCAAATTTTCGTGAGGACAAACATATTTCTCATAGTTTTCCTTATATTGATGTGAAATGCAAGATTTCTTTAAAACAACAAGATACTTGCAAATACAGGACCTAGATTTAGAACAATCAAAATAGGTTAAATTTAAACCTAACTGTGGCTAGGTTTTCTTCCCTCTTAATTAGATATACACCGAACGAAACGATAAAGTACAGTAGTCAGACCTTTAAAATGATTTCAGTTCTCTAACTTGATTTGTTACATATTGGCATCAGATGCGCAAAGTTGATATTAGATAACATCTACCCGATGAGGCGTACAAATTCATCATCAATTATCCAAATACGTACAATTTAATACCGATGAAAGGTATGTAGGTTAATAAGAACATCATCGTACGTATGTGTAATAAATACCACTGAAGTTTGATTTACACTTTATTGATCAATTGACAATTCGTGTAAAATTAGCGTCACCTTTATTGATCAAAGTCTAACTTGGATACTTTTAATGTGTTGTGATTTATCGGATGTTCATTGCAGTAAATTGCCATTAGTTTTTGGCCTTATCAAGCAATACAACCTACATGCTTGAGATAATGGCTAGTAACTATACGGGGAAAGTAGCAACCATTCCTCTGATCGTTTTCACAAATTAATGTCCTGTATTTAAGGATTTGTGGAGCGTATCTAGAATTCTTACGAATCGCATATCAATGTAGGCAGTATAAAACTGTTATTCGAAAAACGAATGGATGATTTAATTTTTTTAGTATCCAGGATAGGTATTTTGACCTGACAAAATATCTGCCAAATGTATGTTTTCCTGTGTCGCCATGTGAGAAAAAACCGAAACTACGTGAAAACCAATTCATAATAGAATTATGCAATCGTTTAATTGAACATTAGCCTTAACTTATGAATTAATCCTCGAGTCTCAGACTCGTCTTTAATTAAACTGGATGCATTGTTTCTCTCATATACTTGTGAGGACATTGTGCTCAACTTTTTTAACAAATGTGGATAAGATTGTGATGTCGAAAGGACCTGCGAGCTTCTTAGCATATTTTACAAGACCACTACCAACATCTTCACCAGATAAAATAACTATATGATTTTATTCTAATTAGACATCTTGAGAACGGTGCTTTTAGTCTTTGGTCTTATCAACTGGTACAATCTACAAATATGGCATATTATCTAAGAACTCAGAAAAGAGTGATACCCGCATTTAAAGAACGAGATGAAATATTACCAAGAAATATGTCAAGTCAGAGCTTTTGTTGTGCCGTCTTAAATAATGTATATTCAAACTCGAAATAAGATCAAGATTGAAGTTTTATAATAGTATCTTTTAAGGTTTTATTATGGGCCAATAAACGTATAAATTTAAACCAACTCTGAATAAGACATACATATAAATTGTTTTTACAGCTGGTCATTTAAATGGTTAGTTTTTTGTTGTTGTTTTATATATATTTTGCAATAGATCGATACATTTAGCTTAAATCCGCTATATTTTGTTTCACCCTAGACTGTTTACATAGGAATACATATCTTTTAAAAATATTAAAAACGTCCATGTTCATCCTCTAACCCCACTGTCCTCTTTCTGGGGAACCATGTACGTTTCTTAAATCATTGCAATAAAATAAAATGTTCATCCTCTAAACTTAGAGTAACGGAACCGAGTTATTTCCCGTACTTATTCTGAATAATGTAGCTTCTGGAGGTAAATGCTTGTTAAATCAATTGTCAGTAGTTGCATTCCTATTCCGGTTATTGAAATATGAGTATTAGTTAACTAGAATATAAATATAGCTGTTAATGGCAGTATTAGTGTGAAAAAACATTTGTCTAGAGACGTACGTAATATACCACGCTGTTAAATCCGAGATACAAATCGCACGCAGCAACATTGTTTTACTATCTTGGGAGAACGCGGCCATCGATACTGTATGCTGGTTGCCCTTATGAAAGATGATATTGTACATCAGATAATAAATATTATCTCTTATCTGATGATGTGTCAGTACGATGGGCGTGTAACTGGAACAGCTAAAAGAATAGTTTATACCTAACAGGTAGGGGTGGTAGATTATATAAAAAGATACTGTACAGTCACAATCTTTGAAAATACCATTGTTGGCACATGTATATCGGGCATGGGCTATATCTGGTAAACCTTGTGAATCATTTTTACTCTCTAGAGTTACGTTGATAAATTGCCCCAATAATGTTTTTATTTTTATTGCATAAAACATAAAATGTGTTAAAAACCTAGAATTTTAAACAGAAGTTTCATATGTCACAAACATTGGGTAACTAATATCACCGGGGATCAACTGGAAACGAAGACATGATGTCTTCGTCTTCGTTTAAGCATGGCCAGACTTTCGGTTTAATTTTTGTTTTTGTTTTCTCAATTTTATCACCTTTATCCTTATAATGTCAAGTAAATATTTGACCTATACATATCTAGTGCGTATATGCTCTGGTTTCGAAAGGTTATACCTAAGAATTACATACAATGATTTTTTGGGCAATTCCCTCGCTCAGGAAACGCTAGGTTAAGGGGTATGCAGAGTCACAAAAAGTTCAGTCCTTCCAAGACATCTATTCTAAAGTGTAATTTCAAGTGCAAATGTGGCTCTTCATGGGGATATTATACGTTGATATATGCACTACTAAAAATCTTCGTCGCAAGTAAAATATATCGTCGTATCATTGTTACAAAACGTCGAAAAACTGTCTTCGTTTTCAAAGCGATGGAACTAGTTTGTAAATATCGAAATAGTTACTTAATCTTTCTCTGAGATGTTGTAATCCTATTTCAAAAGCGGAACCTACACAATACATACTTTAAATGGACAAAGGTGAAAACAACAATTCTCAGCAAATTTTCCTACCAGAGGTTCGGTCATGCTGAAACAAAGACATCATGTCTTCGTTTCCAGTTGATCTCCAGTAAAATGTAAGCCAACATAGTTAAACTTCCAATGTGAGTCTATTTCTTGAATTCATTCACGAGAATAATTTAGCCAGTTACAAAACAGTTTTATGTTAAAATATGAATAATTGATATCAGATGTTGTACAAAAAATGTAAAATGAAATATGTAATAGTGTTAAATCATAATTGTATCACACTTGAAGTCTATCCGAGTCAGATTTATGACTAAAATATGTAGCCATTCTTAAAACAAAATGACTGGCCAGTGAAAACCAATTACTAAGAAAAAATAACTAACTGACCTACTCAGAGAGTTTCAGTTTTCTTTCGGTTCTTCTTTGGATTGTTAGATTGAAAACAGAAAGAAGTGACGAGTAGCAGAATGAACTAAGCCTGAAAGTAGGGAAAATGTTAGAATAGGCAATTACTTACCACTGTACTTGTTCCCCAAATTCTCCAAAATGACTCGTCGGGCAGTTTCCTTCGAAATGCCACCCGTAGTAGATAATGTCCCTAATAGTTTGTAATCAAAAGATAATTTGCCACTCAGCATTTTGAAGAAAGTATCAGCAAAAAAGTAACCGATCCTTGGAAGGATGTGATCGTGAGATCTGTCTTGATAAAGCAATAGTACACGTTTATACCCAAACGTATCCAGGGCAGCGACAGCGGCATCCACTGCGCCGTTATACGAGCTTCCTATTCGGGTGAGGAGGTTCCCATTTTTCTCTTTATTTTCAAGGAAACTTAATGCCATGGCACCACTTGTTATCATCGGAGTGTTCCAGAACCATATCTGTCGGGAGACGGGGGCCGCAGCAAAATCGCACACAGGGCCGAAAAATACATCGGCGGATCTATTTTCCCGAAATAGGAAGGCTTCGTTGATACCGTACCTAATACTACATTTTGAATCTTTAGAATCTATAACTAATTTGTGTTTTGGTAATAGATCTTTCCTTCTGTTAATCCTCTTTGTAGCTATCTCTAGAGCTGGAACCACGTGGCGTATCGAAAATATATGTGAATTATTTTGTGGAAGAATCACAGCGATATTCACATTCGTTCTCCTTTGTTTCTTACTATGGACCTTTGTCATTGCCAAAACCAAACAGACCACAAAGAGATTGAATGTGAGCTTCATTGTTAAAGGTCTCTTTTAGCTTTTTTTATATTTAGTTCGATAATTTCTCCCGATCGTTCACGTTCCTGTTTGTAGTTTGTCGTTAAGCCGTATATCTATTAATCCAGTCTTATTAAAGTCACATCAGCCACGAATGACTGTTTGAAGTTGAACCATCCCTCTATGTTTTCAAAACCAACAATTCATAAAGATCGGTAAATTGTAGTAAATGGTTTATGTAATCCCTACTTACTACCAAATCAGTAGATCAGTAGCCGAAATTGGTGGTTTTTATTGATTCTTCATTTTCAAAAGCATAAGAAGCTGAAATTGATGAAAACGATGAATCTCAAATGTATCACTTTACCGTTTCAACTCAGATTTAACTTTCTTACGTGGCGTTGCAGTTATTGTATGTTGAAATTGATATGATGTATTGATCTTCAAGTAGGTCACTAATAACACGATCCACCATGGCAGCTAGGGCAAAAGGACCTTTTCAAGTGATACTCGTTCTTCCATTCATTGAACATAGATTATAACTTATGTTATCTGCTCTTATCACACGACAATTATATATGCAGCGATAGACAAATATCTATATTGGCAATATATCCATAAAAGTATTATATGATTATATCCTATTGTGGTCCGCACTGAAACAAACATCAAATCGCCATCTGTTAGGTCCACGCGTTCACACAAATCCTTCAACAAGTCGGCAACATTTTATCCAATCCACGGGGCACTTAATTTTGCTTCCATAACTCCAAAGGGTTATTATATTATGGATATGACTTAATATATTTATTGGAGTTGGTACTTCAGCGACTGGCACTTATGTAATGCTAAATCTACACCTATATCAAGAACATATCCAAGTACGTACTATTTTTTTCATTCTCATATTCGCCATCCATATTCTCTCAAAATGTATAGGATTTCAAAAGATACGGTTGGCAATTATTTATCCTCCCATTCTCTTGTTACTTTATCGAGGATTGCTCAAAGCCATGTCGGATAACTTTCAGAGTGATATGCCGTCTCAGCTAGCTAGTGTTTTGTACATACACTGTCTGAAATCAAAAGAATAATTACCATTATGCTAAACGTGAAAATAAGAAAGAGTACAATATACAATTGTTAGTACCTCAGTTGAAATGCTCATTCTGATTGGTTGATTAGCGGTCAACAATATGTACTGTTGACCGCTACTAGGTACTGTTGACCGCTACTTTTGAAAAAAGATTTAAATTTTGAATATTTCTTTCTCATTATGAAAAAATGTGAAAAAATTACATTTTTTTTAATTTTGTAATTTTTAAAAAAAATTTAAAGACAAATTTTGGAAAAAATTGTAATTTTTTTCTAAGAGAAAACGTTTTTGTTTTACAGTATAAATAAAAAATTGAAAAATCAAACTACTTTTTAAAAGTGATTTTCGACGGTTTGGGGGATTTTTTTGCTATAGTATGATATCTATACTTATTCCATAGTTAGCATGATATTCATAGGATAACATGTGAAAATAAAAACGGTATTTTTGTAATCAGTGGTAAAATATGATATTTTTGACAAATTTTCACTTAACCATAACATACGGTTTTTTAGCCATGACATACGACGTCGTATGCGATGGTTTATGGATTTTTGCTACTTCAGATTCAAAACAAGGCTAAGTGTCAACATCGCCGGATCGTTTTGAAATTCGAATTAAATAGCTTAATTTCCGACGATTCTGATGATGAGTTTAACTATGGAATCAAAAGAACATCCTATGATTTACTCGTGATATGATTTTAATCCACTCATGGATATTGATATCTGCACTCTCTCGCTACGCTCGCTCGTGCAAATATCATATCCATTCGTGGATAAAAATCATATCACTCATAAATCATAGGATATCCTCTATTTATCAAATATCTTCACGTGATATTTAGGACTAACAGAACAATTGTTAACCTCTCTATTCGGTGAACTGGCAAAAGTGTATACCTCAACTGTAAACCCTCTAAGTACTGTTGACCAAATGCCAATTACAATTGTATACTGCACATATTAATTGTTTGTGCGATACCATTTGCACATGTGTAAAATTAACAGTTTAATCCCAAAATGTTTTCAATCTAGATAACGAGGAAATAGGAGGTCAAACAAATTTTTGAAGCTGGATAATTTAAAGCATTACAAAAACATTGAAGGTTCAGTATCTAAGTAACGATATTCACTCCCAAATGGAAAACAGTGATTTAAGCGTTAATCAAGTTAGGACGCTAAGAATGCTTATATGAGAGCATATTAAAACAATGGATTGTATTCCCAATGATAATAGATAATACATCTTTTGCTTGCAAAGATAAATCAGTTTTGAAATTAGTGCACTACAAAATGTTAGCTATTCCCAGGGCATCCATTCCATTAGAATAAACAAATAATGGAGGATAGATACCTGGTATCTACGGGGAATCGTTACTTTACGTTTCCCTTTCTCTGATAGATATTTATATACTGTATCTATCACGTCACTATATCAAAACCTATATATTTTTAACAGCCATCAGGAACGCAGAGAAAAAGAAGAATGTCAAATGTCATTTTGCAATTACAATTTTTGGTTTATTATTAGTTTTCCAAGAATCTTTACTTTTAACAATGTAAATATAGGAATACCCGTTTCGAATACAGGCTTTAGGTTCAAGTCCTGATTCCTCAATATGCATATCATTTTTCACATCGGTTCGCCAATACATCGCAAATCTGCACTACAATGCACTAACTATACATTTAGACTCACTATTCATCCTCTCTTGATGCCCATACTCTCACCTTTTCCAATGAAAATATTGACTATAGATGGATGTTAAAAGAACTGTTTTATGTAAATTCAATATCTTTGATTTGAAACAAACAATACCAGATTTAAAATCCGAGTCTACTGAATGGCAGAAAATTCCAATAACTCGATCTCGAGTATCTTCTCGATTGCTTTCAAGATATTTTTTGGTAAAGAGAAGCATGATTGTATTGCTTCTATTATTTCGTTTCGTAATTACTATGCGTTCCCTGATGTATTATGATGTAATTTTGATACATTACTCTAAGTGTGGAAATTGTTTTCGTCTCTCTGATTGATTACAAGTCATCATGAAACAATCAAAAACTGTGTGCCCCATTACACTATGTAAAATCCTTTGATTAATTAAGGAATAAAGACCGAGATTGTATGATTATATGACATTTTATTCTGTTCACTGTTAAATACCGAAATCGCGTACAGCGATTAACTTTTTGGCAATGTCCAGAATAAAAGCTGAGGTGATATATTTGCCATAAATCATAGAATCGAGGTATTCTATTCTAATAAATCATAGATCATGTTTGCGTTAAGTTTGAGTAAACGGTGCGGTTGGTATCAGTGGATATAATCGTGTATCATATTATATTACAAATTTGTATAAGACATAACTAACTATATACCATACGGAACATTGAGTATCAATCTCCAATGATAGTTTTAACAAGAATGTACCCGAAGATTACACGCATCAAAGACGCAAATTGTCCGGGTACCTGCACATTTGATACGCACTTCAGCATCCTCTCATTTTTAATTGAGGAATAATGAGATAATACACATTCAAATGTAAGGAGTTATTGAGCAAAATAGCGCAAAATAGTTTATCTTATGAGGGAATATCATATCTATAGACATGTTTGACGAAGTTAGAATATACAGGGTATTAATAGGGAGATTTCTGTACTTTATATATGGCACTAGCTATTTCGTCACGTGAGAATTCGTATAATTTTACTAACTGCCATTTTTATGAAAAAGAGATAAACATGGAATCTTATTATTTGAAATACAGGCTTTAATCCCAGATACATGCCCAATGTCAATTCCCTCTCATTAAGCTAGAATTCAGTGTGAAATTGTTTCTCCAAATTTCAAATTGTCATATGTGATATTAACTGTTTTAACCAATCAACCCTCTTAGAATTGGTCATGTGATGTGGAGTTCATTACAATCTTATATTAAAACACAGCATGCCAGTATGCGTTAACGCATAACTATTGTATTTAGAATGAATAATAAAGATTTATAAAACTTTAAAATTAATTTCTCAAATAAGTACATTTATTTCTTAATTTTAATGGAACACCCTTCAAAAGGCTCCATTGCCTTTGAAACTAAGGGAGAAGTACAATGCCCTTAAAGACAGACTTTCTGAACCACCTGGTTGCTCATTAGACCTTATAAGGCAAGTCACATCCATTAGGCTTGTCAATCAAATCCTTATCCAATCAGGTAATAGTGATGCTTTATGGGATAATATTTATGTTTATAAACATAACAAAAGCACATGTTATAATTTCATTACCCTTTGCATTCGTTTGACTTCACTTCTTAAAAGAGAGCTTCGTCTAGTTTAACTAGACTCTGCACGCAGGGTATAATTTCATACTTTACAGTCAGTGAACATGAACTGAAGGATAGCAATTGACCAACATTTTTTTAACCAAGAGTCTTCATACATTTTGTTATGCTTGCTACATAGATTTTCCAGTTAATATATGTAAAGTAAATGTAGGTCTCCTTTAGGTAAATTGATTCATGTTCTAATAATCCCTAACATCTAAATTTGATATCATAAAGCAATTGCTTTTGGGGTCATTTCAAGAATTAAATGTAGATACCAGCACAAAAGCTTGAAATGTATGGGAAATTCTGTACAAATTGAAAACTTGTATTGGTTCTTTCATCTGGTCCCTACCTACCACAAAGGGTTGCACTAAGTCATGCCCTTCATTTATGCAATAATTCTGCACTTTTCAACCTCTATTACCATGTTGTACCAGGGTGTCTCCAAATTTGAAATTGATGATCTCTTATATTTATGTAACCATATGCAAATGGTAAGAGATAATGAATTGTCCCATTTCCTAGGGTTGTTCCATATGAGGTCCGTTCCTTTAAATTTTCTCTAAGGTAAAAACCCTTTGTAAACAGGTTTTTGGACAAATGGAACATCAAAAATAGTGACTTTGTCCTTGTGTTGTTCAGGAGACCTCATTCTTACACAGTCATTATACAGTGAACATGTCTCAACCATCAGAAAAATAGAGTGCTGATGTTCAAGATTGAACTAACAGGATATGAAACAATAAATTAAAGACAGAGCTATCTTCACACTGACTTGCCAAAAGTACTCGTAGTATAGATGGCGTTCATAGAACAGTGACTTGTACATTTTTGAGCGAGGAAAGATCCACTATATTGAGAATATAAACATTCGTAGTGCAAATTTTCTGAGCAGTTGTGGATTATAAACGTTCTTAGCACAAAACCAAACCACTGGATTACGAGATAATCATGTGTACGGCGCAAAAACCGATCACAAACTTTTTTCATGAAAATTCTTTGAGCACTGAAAAACAAGATGGCGACCGACAACCAGTGAAAAGGAGAGCTAAAGATGATGAACACGGAGACAGAAAATCTTCAGGAAAGTATAGTGAGTACGAGGGTGACTTAGATGAAGATCACTATGATGATGCCTTCGCTGAGACTACTCTTGAGAAAGAGAAACACGTAGAAACTACTGTTGGTAAGCCAAGCAGTTCTGAAACCCCAGTAATGTTGAAATCTGATAATACTGCAGCACCGGTAACCCAAGGCTGGATGATGAACTATATGGACCAGTTGATGCGATCTATTGATCACAAAATGGAACAAAGTATTGATAAGGCAGTGACTAAAGCTCTGGAAAAGTCGAATGCTAGACTCTCGAATATTGAAAGTGAGAATACTAAACTGAAGACTGAAGTCCTCATCCTAACAACAAAATTGGATAAATTAGTATTAGACGTTAACCACAATGCCCAATACTCTAGAAAAAACACGGTGAGATTCCTCGGAATCCCTGAAAAAGAAACAAAGGCTGATAGAGACAATGAAAACTGTAATGAATCCATTTGTGAAGCCATCTTGCCATACATGCCTGGTGTTATCACCTCAGATGACATAGAGGTCAGTCACAGACTAAGGCCTTACAAACAGGATGATAGATATC